ACACACACACACACACACACACACACACACACACACACACACACCTATTTGCATAAACACAGAGAAATTAAGCTAACTGTTTTGCATTTTGATTAATTTGCCTCCATCAGGGGCGCACACACCTGGCGGGTATGTGCTTTTGTTTGCGACTCAGAACTTGGATTTTGCTACTAAAGGTTTTAAGGTTTACTTTGAGTAAGAAATCCAAATCCCAAATGATTTAAGCACACATATATGTTTTTATGTCCATATACTGCATATTATTGCATGCGGTTTTAACCTTACCATGCCAGTGTGAAGAGGGAAAGTGGAATTAATGATCCTTGTCTAACATCAAGTTAGTCGTGTGAAATTAATATACACTTGAGCTTCTCTCCTGGGGCCTCTCGAGAGAGCGCAGGTTAACACGCTTTTGCTCTGACCTCAGCTGCTCCAGTGCATCAGTGGCCCACAGAGAGAACTAACAATAATCAAAAATACAACCTAATTAGATATCAGGGATTTTATTCTGGCTTAAATACTCAGAAAATTGAGAAAGATTTTAGTTATTGTTTGTTATTATGATATTCCTTTATTTTCTTTATTGCCCCTCTCATTACAAACCGACAACACACAGCATGGAGCACCAGCTGAATTTCTGCACCAGCCAAACAAAAGAGCTGAGCCCCAGTTAGCTTCACTTTGTTTTTAGATTTTACTCTTTTAGATTATTTGCATTTCGGGCTAAATCAGGCTAAAGCTTTAATTTATTATCTGCCACATTTTCATTTTGGTGGCTGAATTATTGCAATTGAATAACTTCTATCAAGGGAATATTTCAAGAGCCGAACAGTTTTACTTGGCCAACCTGATCAGTGCAATCTTCATGCTCCAGCTGTCTCCTGGTGCTCGGTTCTTTCATTCCTTTTGTTATGGCATTTTTAAAAAAAAAATAATGCTTCGAATTTGCCAATTGAAATGCACGAAATAACAACACACTTCAGGACTTTGAAATGTCTTCCTCGTTGATGCTAGAGTTTTTCTTAGACTGGAAAATCACCCAGCTGTAATGCTAATGCAATTAATGCTCTATTCACTGAGAAGGACAAAAACACTCACACACAGATGCACACACGTACACAGAAGAAATGGAAAAGTTTTTCTCCCTTTCATCATTTGCAACGTGCAAGATGGAGACACAAAATGAGGGGGTACGGGATGTGAGTGAATCCAAATGCCGACATGTCGTTCCATTTTGTTCTTTCCCCCAAGAATTATTTATTTTCTTTGCCTTCTCTTTGTATGATGGACAGAGAGAGGGGGGAAAATGAGAGGAGGAGACAGGCACACGAGCTGCCTCGTGCTCAGTCACGCGGTAGCCCTTACGCCTGCGCCTCCTGGTACCACACACTCACACTCAGACTTCGCACACACTTGCATGGGCTGCGGCAATATTTCTGTTCAGATAGTAAGGTCCATAGTTTGTTTGGACAAAGACGGTTTTTGTAGTTTTGCCTCTCTGCAACACTGCACTTGATTTAGACCTCGGTGGATATCAGCGAACACTGTAGCCACTTTCAGCTGTTGCTTGTTTGTGAGTCTCTGCCTTCAGTTTTGTATTTAAAAACTGAAAAGCTGTTCTGTTGGGTTCAGATCATGTGACTTGGTGTAATGTCAACCTGGTAGCCCATTTCGTTGCTTTGAGAAACTCTTGGATTGTTTTTGCTGTGGGTCGTTATCCATTTGCACTGTTCAGTTTTCCAGTATTTGTCTGAATGTGAGCAGAGTACAGTCCTACACACTTCTTAATTCATTCTGATACTTCTATCAGCACTCAGAGAATCAATCAGTAGTTCCTCTGGCCTGTGCTATGCTACAAATCATGAGCTTGCTCTCTCCTTCTCCATACTTTTCTCTCCCCATCAACCTGCTTCAAGTTAATCTTGGTTCTAATGATGGCCTCCTGCACGTGCATCTATTTGGGCCTCATATTTAAAATTATAGTGAAAAGCTATAAAATACAAATTCAACACTTTGGATCATCATTTGATCATTTCATTTGCCATTAAATAACAAGGGAGCAGGCCTCATTCGGCCATTAAACTGCTTTTCTTAGGGCCTAACTTGTTGTACCAAACTGTAGGTTATTTCATTTCATATGAATTCTTAAATTCTGCTTTGTGATAAGTTGACTTGTAACCTTGATAAAGTATGTACACTACCAGTGGAAAGTTTGGACACACCTTCTCATTCAATGGTTTTTCTTTATTTCTAC